TTAGCTCTGCCTCCATCACTGAGAAAATTCCAAAGAGCAACCTGCACATGTACTTCTGGGTTTGTATGTGTTTTGCGTGTCTCTGGTGGCTACAAGATTAAGAAACTAGGCACTAGAACAGTGTTTATTTTAGAAGTTGATCTGGAAACACCCTGAGTTCACAAAGTACCCTCGCTTTCCAAGAGGAATAAAAATTGGGGGGCCAGTTAGAAAGTGTATTTTTATTTTTATTTTTATTTTTTTTTTTGAGACAGGAGTCTCAAGCTGTCCCCCTGGGTAGAGTGCCGTGGCATCTCAGCTCATAGCAACCTCCCACTCCTGGGCTCAAGTGAGTCTCCTGTCTCAGCCTCCCAAGTAGCTGGGACCACAGGCGCCCGCCACAACGCCCGGCTATTTTTTGGTTGCAGCCCTCATTGTTGTTTGGCGGGCCAGGTCAGATTTGAACCCGCCACCTTGGGTGTACGTGGCTGGCGCCTTAGCCACTTGAGCCACAGGTGCCGAGCCAAAAAGTGTATTTTTAGACTGAAAGAAGCAACATGTCCATCGTCTGTCCATCGTGGGTCATCTGAAACCACTTTCAAATGCACTTCCTGCAGATGAGTTCTAAAGTTGCCAAACTATAGTCCGAAAAGTGAAACATATTTTGAGCAGTTCATGACAAAAAGATCATGTGCTTAAAAACTGTCATCGTTGAAGGCTGGATAGGCAAATGGAACCAACATAGATCCTGATGACAGAGATGCAGGTAAGGTACTGAAATACGTGGCATATTCGTGATTTGCACATATAAGTGTACATGTGACTTATATATTAGTCTAAGTATTTGTTTTAGCCTCTTATGAGTGGCTTTAAGGTTCAAGTTCGAAACCTGTGGGTCATGATATGTAAAAACCAAAAAGGAAAGGTATAGCATTTCAACCAAATCAAAGTTTTAAAAATAGCCACCATTTTATAAATCACAACAGTATGTCAAACAACTTGTTAGATACCAGAGACAGCCCTTAACATGAACAGAGCATAGGGAAAGCTCACAGCCGCAATTCACCTTAAGTAAAATTAAGAGTGTAAAAATAAATTTATTTCACCAACAGGTAAGAATAGAATTATCTGTTGTCTAAGGAGTAAGTATAAATATAAAATATCCTTTTTAAAAACCTTTTTCCCACAGATGAGCTTAAGAAAGATGGTAACAATCATATTAACATCTACATAGCTCTCAGAATTTTCAAAGCTCCCTTAATGTCTATTATTTCACTTTGTAAATGCAACTAAGATAGTTTTCCATGAAACAAATGCAAAACGTGCTTGTGCGTGCATATGTGTGTGCGTGTGTTTTTGTGTGTGTGTGTAGGTGGGAGAAAGGTTAAATATCAGAAGCAGATAGATTTGCTCTACAAGTCAAAATATTTAATTCCTTTGTCTGAAATGAAATAGCTTGCGATTACATCCTACTACCTCTGATTGTCCGCCTTCTGGGGCAGAAAAAGGGCAAGAATAATTTCCATGTTGTTTGCGTCGGTAGTTCACATTAAAGGAGATAAAATGCCAAACTTTTTTAGAAAAAATCAAACATCCACAAATAGAGCTTTCTACTTCTTCCTACAAACGGATTAATCCTGACTGTGTCTGCATGAATTTGCCTGAAGCCACAGAGGTGAAGGAGCTCTGGGCGCAGCCGGCTGGTCCCACGCACTCCCTTTCTGCTGACACCTTCTCCTGCCTGTGACTGAGCTTCAGATCCTTGGGCTTATCTCTGATTCTCCTCCTACTGGATCACCTCCAAAAGCCCCCTGATTCTAACACTTGTTCTTTTACATGGGGTCTCTTTTTTCTGGTTCTCTAAACCTCACTGAAGTTCCCAGCCTAATGCCTTCACCCCTAATCCATTCCAGATACCCTACTAGTGTGACACTCCTGGAGCCAGACAGGTCTTTCACTCCTCAGAACCAGACCATCTGGCCCCAGCTTTCCCGACAGCTCTCGTCCCCTGACATTCTCTCCTTTCTCCCTGGGGTAGAGGGTAGGCCCTCTGAAGGCAGGGAGGGTGTTTTCTCACCGCTGTGTCCCCTGGCTGGCTGGCTAGTGCCTCATGTAATCTGATATACTCAGTACCCACTGAACTGTGAAGAAAATCCCATTTGTTTTTTATAGAAACAAGTGTGAAGTCAGATGAAGTCATACTTGGCTCAACTATTTCAGAAACAAGTGTGCCTCCAGCTCACTCGAAATCCTGTTACTCACTTCTTTTAACAAGCAACCGACAGCCAGTAAAGTGACTCAGCCTGTGGATGTGACCCAGAGCCGTCACACACAGAGAAGCATGAGTCACACCACGGCTCCTTCCTGCTCCTCAGGTACAGAACACACATCTCAGATGCAGTCACAAGAACATGGACAAGCCAACTGCAGAGGCAGGTGTCACAGCTGGACAGGCCGCCCAGAGCATAGTGTCCAGGCCTCGCAGGTGGCTCATCTGCATGAGTGACAGAGGAAGGGCAACAGATGCCAAAGCTGCCAACTCCGGCCACACCACGGTGTGTCCCTGCCAGGGAGGAAGGCGAGGAAAGGCATGTGTGGCCTGTCATCATCGTGTCATTTTGGTGGTCGAGACCAGAGACCTCACTGACAGACTGAGGAGGAGGGCTGGGGAGACAGAGGCACAGAAGTTGCCTCAAGCCCGTGTACTCTCTAAGTTTGTCCAGTTTTGGTTTTCTTAACATATTTCAAAGTTAGCTATAATTGACACGTGCATTGGTGTTTCAAATGACATCTTTTAAAACAAATATCTCTGTGTTAAGATCTGCATTTCCACTCCTCTGAGCTCACCCTCTGGCGCAGCACCTGCCCTGAGGTACCACCCCTCGCTGTCCCCCACCAAGAGACACGTGTTAGCTGTGGTGCGAAGTGAGGGCCTTTCACACAGAGCCACCAGGGGTGCATGGGGCTCTGCCATTTTGCTGGGTAATTACAATGAAGGGAAAGCTCCAGGCCACAGACTTTGCACACACAGGTAGGAGCTTTCCCGCAGGGCGGCTGGGAGATCTCAATAACTCAGGGGAAGTCCCAGCAGACAGCAGGAAGTCCCTTCTCCTCCACTGCAGTGCCAAGGCCACCAGTCAGTCTGCTCTGGGCCAGAGACTGCAGTCCTGCCACAGGCCCTCAAAGGGCACTCCCATGGCAGTCCTGCCTCTGTGACCATTGCCCTCCTTCCTGTGAGTCAGGCCACCCAGTTAAATTTGGGTGTCAGATACACCTGCATTTTTTAAGTACATTCTGTGAAAATCTGGGACATACATATACTAAATTTTTTTCATGGTTTATCTGAAATTCAAATGTAATTAGGTGTCTTGTATTTTTATTTGCTAAATCTGGTAGCCCTAGCACAGCCCCTTAAGATGCTCTAACTGTTCTCCACAGAAGAGGTTAGAGGCTGGGCACGGAGGCTCACGCCTGTAATCCCAGCACTCTGGGAAGCCAAAGTGGGAGGATCCTTTGAGTTCAAGAGTTTGAGATCAGCCTGAGCAAGAGCAAGAGCCCGTCTCTATCAAAAGTAGAAAAGCTAGCCGGGTGTGGTGGCAGGCACCTATAGTCCCAGCCACTGGGGAGGCTGAGGCAGGAGGAATGCCTGAGTCCAGGAGTTTGAAGTTGCTGTGAGCTATGATGCCATGGCACTCTACCCAGGTCAAAAAAAAAAGAAAGAAAAGAAAGAAAGAGGTTAGGCTTGTCTTCATCACCACCACGGTGGTGCTGCCACTCTGATGTTCGTTGCATATTCCATTAATCTCTTCTCACTTACCAACTCATGTATATGAACACCTAAAGTCTGCTCAGTAGCCCTATATTGACAGGGAATTTTGCTTGGTGGTCATGAGAATATTGGCAAATGCACGTGTGTATGCATGTATGTGGCTGCAGGTGGATGTATGTGTACCTGCTGTGTTGACCTTTTAAGATGAAAATGACACTGACTGTACATTATCAGGAATAGACTTTCAGTGTTTTTAAGCAGTGAATTCAAGCTGTATGCATGCTAATGAAAACTACTTAGATCCTACAGTAACAGGGCCGGTTATTGAGTGCCTGAAAGAGAAAAGCTTTGGGTTTATTCAAATATCAGCATCCATCTAATAAAGTTAAGAGCCAGAAACCCATCCTACATGAAAAGAACTCAAATGTTTAGGTCACAGTTTCTCCTGTCTGGGTGTTCCTTTTGCACATACTCAAGTGTTTTAATCCCCAGTTTCAGAAGTGAAAAAAAAATTAAAGGAAACATAAACCTGGGTAATTCCACAAGACACTCAGAGTAGGGTCATCATTCACTACTATTCCACAAGATAAGCAGCTTGCTCTGCTAGGGAAAAACAACACGTCAAGGAAGTTTTGCTATTAAAAAATTGTCAGGCCAGGCACCTGGGCTCACACCTGCAGTCTCAGCAATCTGGGAGGCTGAGGCAGGAGGAGTCCTTGAGCTCAGGAGTTTGAGACCAGCTTGAGCAAAAAGCAGACCCCATCTTGACTACAATTAGAAAAACTAGCCCGGCATGGTGGCAGGTGCCTGTAGTCCCAGCTACTGGGGAAGCTGAGGCAGAAGGATTGCTTGAGCCCAGGAGTTTGAGGTTGCTGTGAGCTAAGCTGAGACCACAACACTGTACTCAGAGTGAGACTGTCTCAAAAAAGTAAAAAAATAAATTATCAAACTATTTAGGGGTATAACTGATATCCAACCTGGTGCAAGATCATTTACTAATTGTGGGGCCTGTCTAGGGACCCCATGCTAAGTGTCAGTGATACAGAAGACTCTAGAATTTTATATATCATACCTTCAGTGTGCTGGCACCAACACAGTACCTCCTCCTCTGGCCATGTTGCTGATCAAAAGAATCTCGTATTCCTTTAAACAAAGGCATACCTAATTTCTCCATCCTAACACTCTAACTAAATCCATGCATCTGTCACAGCTATAGCCACCCCGATTTAGGAAGAAGAGGATGTGTGCTTACTCTTCCTGACGTAAGTCATTGATGCTGCGGTCCAGCGAAATCATGTCACTTGCCACCATGTTAAATCCAAACTCTTTAATGCTGGCTTGAGCTGCCTGTTTAAGTTCTGGTCCCAAAACCACCGGCTTGGCTTTCTCTCCAGGGCCACCAACCACTCCGTGTGGCTCAGGTTCTTTGGGTTCAAAGTTCCCGAGGACCCCGGGGTGCAGCACGGGGTCTCGGTAGGTGAAGGTCTGAGGCTTGAAGGTGAGGTAGCGCCTCTGCATGGCATCCTTCTGGGGGTCCCCTCCTGCACGGCGTTCCTGGTCATTTCTGGCCTTGTTTTTCCTTCTAATAGACTCTAAGTCCACTTCTACGCCCTCCACGTGAGGCCATGGTATCACAGGTTTGAATCTGTCTTCCCTGGGAGCTAGTCCATCACCTCCTCGGTTAGCCATGAGGTCACTGCCATCTCTGTTTTCCTACACAAAAGGGAGGGAACACACAGTGAGTATGTGAGGGAAAGCCACCACAGTGGAGCCCATAAGACCAACTTCCATGCTTACAAATGGGCTCAGCACAAAACAGTTTATATATATATATATACATATATATATATATATTTTTTTTTTTGAGACAGAGTCTCACTATCACTCTGAGTACAATACCATGGTATCATCACAGCTCACAGCAACCTCAAACCCCTGGCTCAAGCAATCCTCCTGCCTCAGCCTCCCCAATAGCTGGGACTACAGGCGCTAACATACCTGGCTAGTTTTTCTATTTTTAGTAGAGACTGGGTCTCACTCTTCAGGCTGTCTCGAACTCCTAAGCTTAAGGGATCCTCCCGCCTCAGCCTCCCAGAGTGCTGGGATCACAGGTATGAGTCACCACACCTGGCTATTTTATTCTTTTTTTGATCAACATAACCTAGAAATAAAAATGCTGCTCTAGGGTCTTGGGCTAAAACAGCCACATGGTTGGCTGGCTAGGTGCCCAAATGCTGGGGGGACAAACTGGGGGCATATATTCAACAGTTTCAATTCAGTATTTATCTGAACTTATGTGCACTCAAAACTATTAAAAAAAAAAAAACCCAAAAACTTTAACCAAGCCAGCTTGGGCTTTAAATCACACCTAATCTCCAATATGCCCCATCTCAGAGATAGCCTAGGCAAAACCAGATTCTGCACATAAAGATATTCACAGTGAAGGGGCCTCTCTGCTGTGTGGACCTTCCTCTTCACCTGTGCAGACCTTTCAGCCAGAAATCCGGAGTGCTTTTGCTTCTGAAGTATATTATGTTAATGTTTTACTAATCTGGTACCCTTCTCTGTACAAAGCAACATTTCCCAACATCGCTGTCAACACCTTGGCAGTTTTATTTATTTACTTTTTTTTTTTTTTGAGACAGAGTCTCACTCTGTCACCTTGGGTAGAGTGCTATGGTGGTGTCATACATAGCTCACAGCAACCTAAAACTCTTGGGCTCAAGCGATCCTCCTGCTTCAGCCTCCCAAGTAGCTGAGACTACAGGCACCTCCCATCACACCAAGCTAGTTTTTCTATGTTTAGTAGAGACAGGGTCTCACTCTTACTCAGGCTGGTCTGGAACTCCTGAGCTCAATCAATCCTCCTGCCTCAGCCTCCCAGAGGGCTGGATTACAGGTGTGAGCCACCCTGCCTGGACTAGATGATTTTTTAAAAATTCTTTTTTAACTATCAAAATCGGTTGTTAGCCATCCCTTATCTACTAAATTCACATCTGAAATAACTTTTTAGAGACTTTTTTATAGGGATTTTTGCCTCTAAAACTATCAGGAAGTAGAGAGCAGCCACACTGTAATATGGGTTACTCACAAATAAGGTCACACAAGTCACTACCCACTTTACAAAGTGACCCCATCCCTGATCCCCCAATTCTGCTATGTGTGATATCTTTCCAATATGGTCATACCTTGATAAGAAATGATATGAATCTAAAGGGATTTATGAAAATGGTCATTAGTGCAAATGACAGTAATATGGGCCTGTGTAGATTTGAACTCCTAAGGGGGCCCTGGAAAACGAAACTCTTGCTGAAGAGCTTATGCGTCACACGGTCTCAGGGCTGACCCGCACACACACTGTCTGCTTATCATTCTTCAAAGGCCATGGAATTTAAAAGTAAATCTGGGAGCTGGGCATTGTGGCAGGTGCCTGTAGTCCCAGCTACTCAGGAGGCTGAGGCACGAAAATCACCTAAGCCCAGGAGCGGGAGGTTGCTATGAGCTATGTGACGCCACGGCACTCACTGAGGGCGATGAAGTGAGACTCGGTCTCAACAACAAAAAGTAAATCTGGGTCACCAATCCATTATATTTACTCAGAAGGATATGTTTACTATACTTTTGAACAAAATTTAGTTCATCCAAAGCAAGGGCTCAAATTTAAAATTGTCCTAAAAATTACTTTTCAAGGCTGGGTACAGTGGCTCACACTTTTAATCCCAGCACTCTGGGAGACCAAAGTGGGAGAATCGCTTGAGCTACAGAGTTCGAGATTAGTGTGACCAAGAGCAAGACCTCGGTCTCTACTAAAACTAGAAAAACTAGCCGGGCCTGGTGGCAGGCACCTGTAGTCCCACCTACTTGGAGGCTGAGGCAGGAGGATGGCCTGAGCCCAGGAGTTTGAGGTTGCTGTGAGATATGGCACCACGGCACTCTACCTAGGGTGAAAGAATGAGACTCTGTCTCAAGAAAAAAATTTACTTTTCAAAAACCACGTCAAAACACTGCATCTTGTAAAGGTATTGGGGTACACTGCACATTTCTTAGTAATAAAAACATTCAATTTTCAACATGTAAATAAAAACTGGAAAAGGGGAAATAAATGTCACACAAAATCCTTCTTTGTACTGACACTACTATGTGTTATGTGTGTTATGTTCTATTCTGTAAATGTGAAATTACCATTAATTCAAATTACCATTAGTTCAAATCAGCACTATAAACACAGGAACCGGCTCCTGTGAGCCTCCCCCTCCTCCCACAGGCCTGTGGATATTTCTGACATTGCTCTTTCTGCACTGCCTCAAATGTTCTAGGCTCTTTCAGGACAGATCGTGGGTTCTTTTTTTAATTTTTTGAGACAAGAGTCTCACTGTGTGCCCTGGGTAGAGTGCCATGGCATCATAGCTTATAGTAACCTCAAACTCTTGGGCTCAAGCAATCCTCTTGCCTCAGCCTCTTGGGTAGCTGGTACTATAGGCACCCACCACCATGCCTGGCTAGTTTTTTTATTTTTAGTAGAGACAGGGTCTCACTCTTGGTCAGGCTGGTCTCCAACTGCTGAGCTCAAGGACTCCTCCCACCTTAGCCTCCCAGAGTGCTGGGATTACAGGTGCGAGCCAGTGTGACCGGCCCAGCTTGTGCATATTATTTACCTCTGTGTCCCAAGCACCCTGTAGGCAGTGGGTGTTCAGCGCATTTCCATTCATCAACTATGGGGAGAACGTCTGGCTGTGCGTCACCTATTATTATCTTGCTGTTATATAAAAGGACTTTACACCTATATTATCTTAGGCTACTGCTCGACTTGGTTAAGCCCAGCAATTTGGGAATACAAATGAGATAATTGAAAACATTACTTCCCTAAACTTCTAAGATTTGAATAAGCCTTTTTTTAGTTTCTTCTCTTCTTCAGATTTTGGTAAATCATGTCTGCAAGTAAAATCTGGTACTTCATGGAAAGTGAGTACCTTATTTAAACATGAGACAGTAAGTCCCCTGATGTTGGTCTTAACTCTCTGAGCTGATTAATCTTGCAAAGGGTCAGAAAAATATCAGGTAATACTCAAAGGGGGATGAATTAAAGGAAGAAATGGGCAATTAAAGGACCAAAACACAGGTTAAATTTGCAATAGGAAAAATAACAAACAATAAAGTGATTATCCTTTAAAAAAAACGTTTTACTCATAAGACTGTTGCACTGGCCCAAATCAAAGTTATTATCATAGACAGGTAATCAAAAAGTCCATAAAACACATGAAATTTAAAAATATTTATGAAATCTAAGTTCTATCTTTCAGAGACCTTATAAAAATTAATGCTTTAGCTCATGAACTGAATCGTAAATATATATTACAGGCTTAAAGAACCTTTCTTATCATGACTATTTAATCATTTAGCTGATTTGAACTTTAAGAATCCAACATGAGGATTACAAAGATGACCAGAACATCGTTTCTTTCTTGGTATATTTCAAAAGGTGTTTAATAAAACTGTATCTGTCCAAGTTTACACTGTCATTTTGGTGGTAAGAGCACAACTGTCAAGACAGGGCTGAAAATACAGGGCACACTGATGCCATTAAAAAGCCTCATCTCTTGGCTCAGTGCCTGTAGCTCAGGCAGCTCAGGCGCCAGCCACATACACCAGAGCTGGTAGGTTTGAATCCAGCCTGGGCCTGCCAAACAACAATGATAAGTACAACCAAAAAATAGCAGAGCTTTGTAGACCAACGCCTGTAGTTCCAGCTACTTGGGAGGCTGAGGCAAGAGAATCGCTTGGGCCCAGAAGTTTGAGGTTGCTGTGAGTTGTGATATCACTGCACTCTACCCAGGGCGACAGCTTGAGGCACTGTCTCAAAAAAAAAAAAGCCTCATCTCCCAAAGGTAGTAATTACGACCCTTCTTAGAAATCAGAAGATTATAGTGGGTGGATTTCTAACTCCCCATGTTTTGGGAGTTAAGCAGTTCTTAGATTTTAAAAAGAAAACTCCTGGATAGCATTTTATTCTAATAATAATATATAATAAGTTACATGAAATAGTTTAATAAAATGTCACAATTCTATAATACACTGTGAACCATATTATCTCTATAAAATGACCTGTCTAAAAATAAGAAACATACTGGGAAAGAGGAAGGGGAAAAAAAAAGAGAGAGAGAGAAGAAAGCACAGTCATGAAAGAAAGACCATAAAATAAAAGCTTAAAGATTTCAAACACTTGAATATGTATGTATGCATATATATTATGTGTGCACACGGAGAAAGGAAATAGACTTTAAAACCCAAAGGATTTGCAGGATAAGAAACACACCCTTACAGAGAACAATCTCAACAGTTCATCAAGTGGAGGAAGAGGAACTTGTTTTACTTTTTTTTAAATAAAAAAAAATTGCATTTACTTAGAAGCATTCAGAATGTCAACAAAACAGCTGCAACTTTTTGTATTAACTGGAAATGAGGTCACATTTGTCCCCTCACCTCATGTTTCGGAACCTTCCTTCAGCCTGTGACAATCAGCCCTACTTTCTCCCAAGAAGTGGGAAGAGTCTGTCTTTTCTAGATCATCTTTGAAATATTTTTTAAAAGCACTCCCAACATCAATGCCCTGGGGACCACACGCTCTTAACACCTTTTATTTTTGAATCCAGCAAAGTCGTATTTATTACCATCCTTTTGATTCTTGTTTCCAGCATAACAGTGCATCTTACAAT